GGGGGCCCCCTGGAGCCGTTGTGGCTGCAGCAGCGAAGCAGCTGACAAGTGCTGGACCGAGAGAGAGACAGAAGGGGCCCCCCTTTCACCTTCTATGTCTGCGGGGGGCCCCCCTGGTTCTTCGGGGCCCCCGGGGGGCCCCCATGGAGACGATGGAGTTGACTGTAGGGGGGCCCCCCTGCTGTGTCGTACAGGTGACGGGGGGCCCCCCAACTATAAGGGGGCCCCCTCAAAGAAAGGGGGGCCCCCTGAGGGTACAGCTGAGAGTACTAGCTGGTCTGCGTTGCTGCTGCCGCGGGCCCAGGGGGAGGAGGCGGGGGTAGGGTGTTGTTTGGTGGTGGATGGAGATGGTCGTTACCTGCCAGTGTATTGTGAGCGTTTGCTGCTGCTGTCTTCTTTATGTTTATGTATAAACCCTATATTTGCTTTTTATTTGGGGTGTATAGGGATGGGGTATTTGTCTCTTTTTTTGTTTATTACTTCTCTCCTACACTGGGTCAAGCCTAGACTATGCTGGCGGCGTATAGTAGATATATACAGTGCTCGCTGTGTGATAGTTTTGTTTTGTTGTATTGCAGTGTATACAGCCCCTGTCTCTATCTGTCTCCTTTATCTTTCTTTTCTTATACTTATTTTGGGGCTGCATGCACTCAGCTGGAGATACACCCGAAATAACAAACACCTACACGGCACACTCAGCCACATCGCGCTGCACTGCACCGGCACTGCAGCTAATCTTATTTTATTTACTTCTATAGGAAACACACACACACTCGGATGGGCAGACTTCTAACTCCTGCTGCTGCTCCTGCTGCTGCTGNTATAGGAAACACACACACACTCGGATGGGCAGACTTCTAACTCCTGCTGCTGCTCCTGCTGCTGCTGCTGCTGCTGCTGCTGCTGCTGCTGGTGGTAGTGGTGGTGGTGGTGGTGGTGGTGGTGCTGGTGGTGGTAGTGGTAGTGCTGGTGGTGGTGCTGGTGGTGGTGGTGGTGGTGGTGCGGAGGCAGCGGCTGTTGCAGAGGCAGCAGCAGCTGTTGCAGAAGCAGCAGCAGCAGCAGCAGCAGCAGCTGCTGCTGCTGCTGTTAATGCTGCAAGAGTCCCCGGGCAATGGAGACAGCCGGTCTGTGGCTGTTTGCTGTAAAAGAGCAGCAGCAGAGGCAGACGTCTGAGTACTCCTGTTGCTGCAGCAGCTGCAGCAGCAGCAGCAGCAGCAGCAGCAGCAGCAAAAGTAGCAGCAGGAACAACAAACACTATCGCAATGACAGCAGCAGCAGCAAAAAGAGTCTCGCCAACAGCAGCAGCTTCTGCTGCAGCTGCTGCTGCTGCTGCTGTCGGATTATCCCGCTGCTGCTCCGAACAGTGCCCGGGTCAGCAGCAGCAGCAGCAGCAGCAGCAACAGCAGCAGCAGCAGCAACAGCAGCAGCTGTGCATCTTCTTTATCTTTACTGTGGGTATGTATATATATGCGTGTGTATGTGTATATGTGTGTCATCTATAATGTGCGAGTAGCAGCAGCAGCTGCTGCTGCTACTGCAGCAGCAGCAGCAGGTGTGGCAGTGTAAGCAGTATCACCAGCAGCAGCGACAGCAGCAGCAGCTGCTGCAGCAGCAGCAGCAGCAGCTGCTGCTGCTGCTGCTTCTTGTCAACTATCGGAGCAACAACAGAGACTTGGTAGGATGAGGGATTTCTCCTTGGTTGCCGGCCCCAAACCCTAAACCCTAGACCCTAAACCCTAAACCCTAGGAGGACCCAAACCCTAAACCCTAGGGGGAAAAACCCTAAACCCTAAACCCTAAACCCCAGGGGAAACAAACCCTAAGCCATAGACAATGCGCTGAGGGGCCCCAACAGCTTTTGGGCTTTTGCTGTCGTTTGAAGTTTGGGGGCCCCCCAGCGACTGCTGCAGCAGCAGCAGCAGCAGCAGCAGCAGCAGCTGCAGCAGCAGCGGCATGAGGGGCCCCTCTGCTGCAGCAGCGGCAGAGTGGCCCCTCAGGGCCTCTGCATGCATCGCGGGCCCACCCAGGATTTGGCTGAGTGGGTTCAGGCTTGGGGGGCCCCCAGAGCTGCGGGAAACAGGGGGCCCCCCGGGGGCCCCCTGTTGCTATGGGGCTAGGGTTTAGGGTTTAGGGTTTAGGGTTTAGGGTTTAGGGGACCTTGGGGGGAGCGGGGAGACATTGCTGGTGAAGGGTGGGGGCCGTTTTTATATAAACTGGAGGAGGAGACAGTTTAAGTTTATATAAGAGAGAGGAGACAGTTTAATTTTATATATGATGGAGAGAGGAGACAGTTTAGTTTTATATAAGAGAGAGGAGACAGTTTAATTTTATATAAGAGAGAGGAGACAGTTTAATTTTATATAATTTTATATAAGAGAGAGGAGACAGTTTAGTTTTATATAGAATAGAGAGAGGAGACAGTTTAATTTTATATAAGAGGGAGGAGACATTTTAATTTTATATAAGAGAGAGGAGACAGTTTAGTTTTATATATAATAGAGGGAGGAGACAGTTTAATTTTTGCTGTTTGCTGTTGTGTGTGATGCTTGCTGTGCTGCTACTCCTGTTGCTGCTGCTGCCGCTACTGCTGCTGTTGCTGCTGCTACTGCTGCTGTTGCTGCTGCTACTGCTGCTGTTGCTGCTGCTACTG